GAGAGAAATAGCATTAGAATTTCAAAGCTGCATGTATGCTTAAGAATAGGTTGTGTTCAACCAATTATTTTCTAAGTATCGCCAAACTTTTAGTGATTTCGGCCTACCAGCTGGCTGTATCTCATGGCGAAGCGCTTTTCCGACTGGTTTTTCCTCCCCAAAAGAAGTGAGCACCAGGATAACCACAGCTTTTGCAAATCTCAGCGGTATTCTTCGAGCGGCCAAAGGTCTTCCGCTAATGATCACCAACATTCATGGGATAAGCCCGTATCTTAGAGATACAGAGGTGCACTTAGAAATTTGATTAGAAATATTGTTGAGACTACTAGTTTTATTGTAGCCATGCGCTGCAGAAGTTCTATGCACCACTGATCAGGGACACATCGAAGATGGACATAGAATGCCTGCTCAACGTGCTGTTCCACCCTATACGGGTGCTGTGACAGGTACACAAGGAGAATTGTTTTTTTTTTCAAAAGTTACTTGTTGGTTTTTGTGCATGCAGCTGCTTTTTGTTTATGATTGACTTCAGCTGGATATGCAGATTTATGCTGTTACCGTCTAAGTCTAAGTCGTAAATCTGGAAACCGCGTAAATTGTGGACCTATTTTCTGGAGCACAAAACGCAATCTGCTCTTTTGATTTCCTCATAACTCTACAAAATCATTTTGTCTTCATTCTTCGATTGCAAGTCTGCTTGATTTAGTTCATCTCAAACTGGAGTATTCCGGAAAATGGGGCAGCACTATTGAAGGGATACGCCAGCTATCGGCTGCGTTTTACATAGAGGTAAGCCCGCTTTCATTTTAAAAGTACCTCATACTCAAATTTTCTATGTGTTTAGATTGGAAAATATCTTAGGGAGAAGCATAAGCTTATAGCGGTACCAACAATGGATCAGCTGCTCGTTGTGAAAGTTGGTTTTTTTGCTTTATGACAGAGGTCATAACATCTAATTGTCGAATTTAGGATGGTGTGGTGTTCAAATTAGTACTAGTGCTAGATAAGATCTTGAAAATTTTGGAAGAACGAGTTGAAAAGGTGAAGGCTAGCGGAGCTACGAGAATTCAATCAAGTGCAGAGGGGCAGAGATTGAC